CACACTCATCAGACGAAACGCGGAATTACTTCCACTTCACGCCTGTCTTCTGTGTGGTCGTGGTATTGCATCGGGCGAGCCGGCCCATTCGTGCGAAGAAGTTAAAGCGGGCACTACCACTGTTTGAGTTTGTCATAGTAAACCTAACGTGTGTGGCTTGCATAAGTTTATTTTGACAACCCTAGTAGAACATCAAAGCGGTGGCAATCGCACGCCGACGTCACTCTGACAACAAGCGTGCGTGGATGTGGAAATTATCACTGAACGCTGCCGCGTCATAACCTAAAATATGCCTGTTGGTTGCGTCTCTGTAATATTAAGACCCCTTTCCACTAAACTATTGTACTAATAATGTAATGTAAAGTAATGTCAATTAGTTTTTTGTGCTTATCTATGTGGAGTTGTGGTTGGTCTCTTCATTAGAAGCACAATAAGTGCGTCCGAGGGTTCATTCTAAGGCTTCCAAAGCACTACACTGGATTTAATAAAAGAATTAAAAAAATAACTGCTTTTTTACTCACAATAAGTAATTCACTTTCTAGCATTATTTTGAGGTACAAAACTATAACAAGCAAATATTTTTCGCACATCTATGATGTTTTTTTTTTTTAACAATAATTTAAATAAAGTTACACTTGCCAGTTACAATGCATTCCCAAGAGGACCTACGTCCCAATACACAGCGCTCAGTTCTTTGTTCATAATATTCACATAGGAGTAAAACTGCTTGAAAAAACTTATAAAAACAATTGACATAATACATTTTAATTCAATGAAAGATGCCTTGATATTTTTTATCTTGCTTGTTATTCGGATACTAGGATAAAATCAAATCGACTACGACTTTTACGCTGTCTAAAGATTTTTCTATGAAATTTCACACAATTTATTCGTGTTTTATAAATAAAATATGCACTCATTTATCGTGCAAAATCTTTGATTGACGTCACTATTGTTGGATCAAAATATTAAATACTTTGATGTATGGATTTCGATATTTTGTAAACACATTAAACTAGTGTTTTCATCAAACCAAATTAATCTAAATAAAATGTTTAATTAACTAGCTGATGCTCGCGACTTTGCCTCCGTGAATTTAAAAAAAATAGCCTTTGTTACACAGTGATAACATACCTTTTTAATGGTGTAAGAATTTTAGAAATCGGTCCAGTACTTATCGAATTATTTCAAAATATACAAAAATCCAATAAACAAATCTTTCTTTTTTGTAATATTAGAATAGAAGCATAGATATAGATAACTGTAATTTAGGAAGGGCATTGTCTATGTTCAAAATCTTGATAACTACGTAAAAACAGCTGCCTAACTAATTAACTAATGTTTTTAAATGTTTCTGCCAATTACTAAAGACAATTTTATATTAAACAATATCGAGAGATAAAATTTTGTCATATTTCATGGTAAATTTTCACGAAAGCAAAATTTAGCTGTACTTTTTTTCACTCTAAAAATAACCGTTAAACGTGCGAATGTTCTTGGCATTCGAGGCAAAGACCATTTACATTACAGCAGCTTTATTACTTTAGGCGAGAAAGACATAAAAATTTTATGTTGCTTTAATTCAATTTGGATAACCTAAAATGGTTTTATGTTGATAACATCCTATGAATCCATTTTTATTACAAGGGCAGTGCATAACTATTACATAAACTCTTTTGTCTATTGCCAACAATGACGATTTTCACACAAGAAATATTGACAGGTCGGAATTTCCCGCCATTAAATATTCGTTATAAATGTCAAAAAAATTAACATTTAGATCTTTTAACATATGTTTTTACAAAGTAGTGAAATAATCGTATAGTTAATTAATCTAATTTAATAAACTATTTTAGATTAGCCCAAAGACAAGAATTGACGTTTTGGCGGCAATAAAGTATAATGTTGCCAAGTTCTAGTTAAGGTAACATGACGTATATATCGTGACGGAAATGACCTACAGAAGCTATTACGATTTATTTGTTATTTTTCTAACTATAGAAAATTTTAAAACATAAGATTTATCAAATGAATATTATCGCTATTTATATTGCCAGCATGTAATAACACTAAAAAGTGGTCAACATTGTTACATAAATAATTGCAATCTAAAAACCTTGGATTACGAACATCAATCGGAATATTTTAGATGCTATTTTACGAGTAAGAAATTGTAATAAACTTATGATAGAATACAGCCATGATTACATTAGTTTGTTCGTATGTGGAAGCAAAATAATACATCGAAATAATTTACAGATTATCTAGTAATAATGACAATTATCTACTTACTAATTATAATAATCCAATCAGGGTAAACAATTGAATCGCTTCTAACGCGTAATCGTAAAAAGCGATATCAGAACATATTTAGTTTTGTCGGGTAAAAGGTTCTATATAGTTACAACTGGTTTTATCGATAATATTACGTATTAAAGAGTATAGATAAAGAATTGTGTTTATTTAGCTGTGTGTACTTCTGTTTGAACTTTCCGATACTATATTGTGTAAACTATTGAAAAAAAGTCTTCATTTTAAACAAATTACAGACAAATTTTAAAGAAAAGCATATAGTAAGAATACCTATCATATTAAAATGGTAACTTTCGTGCTCCGTTTTTCATAAAGTAAATAAAATGATTTCGAATCTGTCTCAAGGATATTCGGCCGTTACTCGATTGTATACCCTTAGCGTGGACAATTGTACAAAATCGCCGGAAGGTGTCGCTGTCACACGTCACTCATCATCACAGCCACACTCGATGCTATCTAAAAATAAACTAACAATACATCTATTGACCCCATATTATCCAATTTGAAGGTTTTTGTTAATCTTAATAGTTAATATTATAAATGCGAAAGTTTAGACCGATGTTTGTTAGAGTTTGTAACCTAAACTGCTGAACGGATCTTGATGAAATTTGGTATAGATGTAGAGGATAGTCTGGAAGAACACATAGGCTACTCACTTTAATTTTTCTAATTACACGCGAACGGAGTCGCGGGCGAAAGCTAGTCGTTAATAAATATGTTTGTTTTAATAAATTAATTTCTTTGACAGGTGGTCTCGGCACTCGCCACTGGGTGACATTCATGTTGTTCCTGGGTATGGCAAACGCGTATATAATGCGTACCAATATGTCCGTGGCCATTGTTGCCATGGTGAACCACACGGCCCTACCCGTCCACAAGGAAGCTATGGACACCGAGTGCGGGAATGTCGATGCTAATGCCACCAATGTAAGTAACACCAGCCAGAAATTCATCTCCAAAAGTAGGTAATAAAAGTTTATTTGCGACTTATAGAGCGGCCGCACACAGTTGACTAAATCGTCGATTGTCGATTGTTTCGCAGACCATTCAATTGTTTAGTTGTACAACTAAAATCAAGTAGTGTGCGCACCTTCTCATGTAAGCTCATAGGAATCTATGCGCGACTAAAAAGTTGTGCCATAGTTTACTTAAATGTGCGCGCGCGCTTGTTAACTCCAGTTGAGAATGTATTAAGGATCTGAGATCAAAATTTTAAGAACGGTTCGTTGTCCGTTCCGTCGATGGATCACTTTCAAAACTCTCTTAACTATCTGATACTTGTATAAAAGATTGTGTACTGTAAATTGTATGATTTGAACCACGTCTTGTTGCAGGCGGCGGCGTCACAAGACGGCTCCTTCGTTTGGAGCTCAACGCTGCAAGGATACATCCTCTCCTCTTTCTTCTACGGTTACGTCATCACGCAGATTCCCTTCGGTATATTATCTAAGAGGTAAGCAGTAATAAGGAAAAAATAGTTACTTTTTGTATATCCACCTTTATAGACTTACTAGCTTTCGCCCGCGATTCCGTTCGCGTGAAATTAAAAATAACAAAAGCGAGTAGCCTATGTGTTCTTCCAAATTGTCTATGCCAAAATTAGTCGAGATCCGTTCAGACGTTTAGGCTAGAAACTCTACCAAATATCCATCTAAACTTTGCATTTATAATATTAGTAAGATTGTCTAACGATTTATTGGTTTTTTAAATTACCTTATTGTTTTGTTCAGATTTGGTGCGCGTCTGTTCTTGGGTGTCGGAATGTTGATCAACTCCGTGTTCGGTCTGCTGGTGCCCATCGCCGCGGAGGCTGGCTACGAGTGGCTCATCCTCGTGCGGTTTATACAGGGCCTGGGAGAGGTGAGAAAATATTCTACATATTAGTGGATCCAGAATAATCAGAAATGTTGTTATTTAAAAGTGATCTTTAAATAACTGCTTTGAAAGAAGTATCTTCAATTTCCTCTGTTCTTTTCGTAAATGTGAACCTCTTAAAATGCGATTTTAGAATTGTGTAAAATTTCATTGTAGGGACCGATTGTGCCGTGTTCGCACGCCATGTTGGCGAAATGGATTCCGCCCAACGAGAGAAGTCGGATGGGTGCAGCTGTATATGCCGGTAAAAAAACCAAAACATTACATTTTTTTTATTCCTTAAATATAATCAGCATCGGTAACAGGTAACGCGATGTTTTGTGATAATTATGAAATCTATAATAATATTATTACAAGGTTTGTATTTTGTATGTATTACAAGAACTCTAAAACTACTGGGCCGATTACAAAAAATCTTGCATCATTAAAAAGCTATGTTATCTCTGAGTAACATAAGGTATATTTTTAATTATTTTCACGCGGCCGAAGTCGCCTACAACAACTAGTTCATATATTTGAGGTGTGTAATGCGCGGCAGTTACCAGGACGTCATAACTTGCAGGCGCGCAGTTCGGCACAGTGATCTCCATGCCGCTGTCGGGGCTGCTGTCGGCGTACGGCTTCGCGGGCGGCTGGCCCTCCATCTTCTACGTCTTCGGAATCATCGGCACAGTCTGGTGCCTCGCCTTCCTCTTCCTCGTCTCCGAGGACCCTGAAGTCTGCCCCAGGATCAAGGAGGCGGAGAAGAAATACATCTTAAGCTCGCTATGGGGCGCTGCCGGCTCCAGCGTAAGTGCAACTTTATTCTTTTGGATTTAACAAGCAGCTTACAAATTCTCTATTTCCGAAATAAACTTAATTGGTAACATTGCCAATCAAGTGAAAATGTACTTAAGGAAATAAAAATACTTTTATGTCTCATGTTTTATGAGGTCCTGGTATCTTTCGACAATCTTTCTAAGTCCCCAACCAGCACATTCCTTGGTGGATTGTTCGGTTACAATAGTTGTTTCTCGGGTTTTTATACTAATTGCACGTTGTCCAGTCTCCGCCGATCCCGTGGTGCAAGATATTGCTGTCGATGCCGTTCTGGGCCATCATGCTGGCGCACATGGGACAGAACTACGGCTACGAGACGCTGATGACGGAGCTGCCCACGTTCATGAGACAAGTCCTCCACTTCTCTATCAAGGATGTAAGTATATGTTGAAAAATCTGTTGCTCGGGACTTCATCCGCGTGAAATTAAAAAATAATTAAAAAGAATAGCCTATGTTACTTAGGGATAACGAAGCTTTTTAATGGTGAAAGAATTTGAAATCGGCCCAGTAGTTTTTGCTTTATTTCAATACATATTAAATATAAATGTTTCTTCTTTATAATATTATAGTATACTAGCTGTCGTTCGCGACTTGGTGTGCGTGTAATTAAAAAAATCATTTCCGATTTCAAATTATTATATTAGAAAGCTATATTATCACTGATTAACAAAGGTTGTATATTACATTTTTTTTTAATTCTGTGCGGACGGAGTCGCGGGCAATAACTTATACTTGTATAAATAATAGTTTATGGTTAATTCTAGTTTTAATTCTTCTTCAATTTATCGAATCACGAATAAATTCAATTCGCAGGCTGAATTCTCGACCGCAATGATTCATTGTGTCAAACAATTTGACCCCCACCTTTGAACCCTGCGGTGCGTCGTTAACGCGAGACCTCCCATTGATTTACGTCAAGTAAAAATAACTTACATCTTCTTATTACTTTAACTTTGTTTTATGCCATCAATCTTGCAATTCCAATTTGAATTCCAGGGAATCGTTATCTATACTGTTAGGAACAAAATTAGTACCGTGCTATAGAATTGGCGCAACTCTAGATTATCGGCATAAACGTGACGTCCCTAGCTGACAGCTGTCAATGTCACTAGAAGTATGGATAGATTGGCGCGCAACCTGGCTCTGGACGAGAAGTGTTGCTCTGAGTTTAAAGCGACAGTATCAATAAAATAAGTTGTCTAAAAATACTAATATTATAAAGAAAGATTTGTATTTATGTATGTATTGAAATAACATAAAAAGTACTGGGCCAATTTTAAAAATTTCTTCACCATTAATAAGCTACGTTCGAAAATTACGGTTCGAATCATGCAATTCGAATGTTGTCGTCAACCATATCCTAGCCGAACCCTAGAGCTTATAAAGGAAATGTTAGTAAAGTAACAAAATCGACTAATATTTTCATAAAAAAACAGCCGTAGTATAGTTGTAGTCAAAGGTGCGCGTCTCTAAATGTACGCCTGTGGTACAGAACGGCTTCGTGTCCGCGCTGCCGTACCTCTGCATGTGGCTGTTCTCCATGTTCATCTCGGTGGTGGCGGACTGGATGCTGTCCAGCGGCAGGTTCAACCACACGCAGGTCAGGAAGATCATCAACAGTATCGGTGAGTGAGACATCTCTTTTTTTCTTTTGACTATATCGTACAACTGTTGTGCGATTGTCGATTGTTTCACAACTTCAACTGTTTAGTTGCATAGCTAATAATCGAGTAGTGTAATCTACATATAAACTAATAGAAATCCAAGTACGACTAAATAGTTGTGCGATAGTTTAGTCAAAGGTGTGCGCATTTTCTTAACCTGATCAATAATTGCGGATCCAAGCTTTTGATGCTTTAAAGTAGGGTTGTTACGGACCCCCGCTTCCGCATCCGCAAGTGCGGAATTTCCTCAAAAAATGATAACTCCGCATCTGCATCCACTTCCGTTAAAATGGCCTCCATTACAACCCTAGTTTTAAGATCTGAAATCTCTTGTGTCCAGGATTAATAACTGGTTTTTCAGATACATTTAACCACTTGTTAGTGTTTTTGTTTCGATAACTTCATGATATGCGTTTCCGAACTGCATAACTCGAGTTTTACTCCGTTGAAATTTAGGACAACCTAACACTAATGAATTACTAGCTATAACTAAAATAAATGGAAACTTCAGAAACTCGGCATAAATCCATCTTATCTTACTTCTTACTAGTATTATAATTATTTTTTTTTGTATTTTAATCCCACTCGGTCAGAGTCGCGGGTTTTTTTTTTCGCTTTAAGAAGCGGGAGAGCTTTCGCCAGTTCAGTAAATAATTTCAATATGCGTAGTAGTTACTATTTTATTGTTTATGTGGCAGGCGAGTACGGGCCCGCGATAGGTTTGTTCATCGCGGCCAACACGGGCTGCAACCCCGCCGCCACCGTCGCCATACTGGCCGTCGGAGTGGGCTTCAACGGCGGTATCTACTCTGGGTTTAAGGTGCGTTTACGTCAAATTATCAGATATTCTGATTGGTTTAGATATAAAATTATGTAATTGGAGTGTGTGTAAATAATATCGAAAAAAATACATATTTCGCGAAGACATTTGTATTGCTGACAACAAAAAATAAATGTCTATGTGTTTGTTCCCGGCAATCTCCCTAACCGTTAGGCCGTTTTTGACGGGAATTTCGCTGAAAGGTAGCTGACGTGGACAGGCATGTTATAGGCTATCTTTTCAAATTCCGCACTGTCAAAATCGGAGACGACCACTATTTCCGGAAAGAGTGGACCAATTTTGACGGGATTTTTTTTTTTTTAAATTCATTATTTCCTGCTGCTATGTTTTTTGCAGCAACCTTGTTATCTTTGTAGTTTTTTTTTCTAGTTTCTTTACCTTGTGTTTTTTTTATTTTTTTTTTACTTATTTTTTATTTATTTTCTATTTTGATATATATATCTAATAAAATATATATGGTTTCCTCCTATTTGACGGGATTTTGACTGGTAGCTGATGGATGCGGGATTGTAATAGACATTTTTTTTTATTTTGTCGACAGTTCGTCTAATAGTAAATGTATCGTCCGCAGGTGAACCACTTGGATATATCTCCGAGGTTCGCGGGCATCTTGATGTCGTTCACCAACTGCCTCGCCAACCTGACGGGGCTGCTCGCGCCCATTGTCGCTGGATACATCATTGAAGGCAGGGTAAGGATAACACATTATTAGTATATACAAATATTTTATTGGTAATAATACATCACAGGTCGTAAAACCAATAACTACCACTTTATCGTTTGGTAATAAAAATATATCTTAGCGAAATTGGCTTTCGTTTTTAGTGTTTTTGTGTGACGCATAATTGATTTTAGACTCGATAAATTGGCCATTAAACGAACACAATTCCTTAAAAACGTTAATAATTCAGCAATTTGACCCTAAACTTATCTAAGTAATGACAACGTTATGCACAAATATAAGGCGCTGTTCACACCTGGCCAAGAGTTGAGCAGTAACGCTCTTAACATATTTGAACACTGACCGGCTACTGTATGTCATATAATCTATGCCAGGCCAGTGCAACTGTCCAACTTTTTTTTTTCTTTTAACATAAAACCATAAAAAACTAGTTTAATATACAAAACGCTAAATAAACCTCAATGGTTTTTTTTCACTAGCGCCTTGCGTACATAAATATTGTTTCAGCTTATGCATGTTTTATTGTGGTATACATTTTATTAACTGTACTGGCTTACTGTGAACCGAGTATTAACATGTTGCATAACATTCAGCCGACACAAGCGCAGTGGAGGAAAGTGTTCTACATCGCGGGCGGCGTCTACATATTCTGTGCCACATTCTACAACGTGTTCGGTTCCGGCCGCCGCCAGGAGTGGGACAACCCCGCGGAGGACGACGCGCTCGCTAAGAAGGCCGCAGCCAAAAAGGCAGACAAACTCCAAAAGAAAGCCAACAAAAACACCAACGAGGCGGAAACCGCGCAATAACTAACCTCTAGTGACTGGATAAACCAAACTTTGTTAATATATGACATTGTACATTTAATATATTATAAGCGATATTTATTCTTCGAGTATTAGTAGCTGTCGAAATGTCTGCGATATTTTTAATCTTTGTCATCTTGAACAAAAATCGCAAATAGAATTGATTGTCTTTAGCGAAGATAAGATATTCTAATTAAATGTAAGTAATGTAAAATATCAGAGAATTTTGTTAACTCAGCTTGAGCATTCGATACGGGTTTCTAACTTAGAGGAAACTGGTAAAAACGCGACAATAAAAATCGATGTTTTTGTTCGAATTTTTAAATTAATTCTTCTTTAATAATAATCCAAATGTCCTCGTTAACAGAAATTTTGATACGCAAGGCTTTCAAGCCTTAAATTTATTTGAATATTGTCTATTGTGAGCCACAAAGACGCACATCATAAAGGCTGTGATAATCACTAGTAACTGACGGAAACCCGTGTCGATATTAATTGCTAATTTTATAAGAACCGTTATGGTATTTTTTATTTATATCGAGGGTCTACATTTATATTTGAAAAACGTAAATAACTTTGGGTCCAAGATGTTACTAAAAAAATTACCGTCCTAGCCAGTGTCTGTTATATTTAAAAAAACTACGTTAGATTTGTTCCAATACGCTGGTTCGTATTATTTGGTGTAAAGATAAAAAAATTGTCCTCGAATTGAAAATATTTATGAAAAAAATAATTTTAAAACCTCGAATTTAATTACGTTAAGTTGCAGAGCTTCACTAAATATTTGTCATAGACTAAGCATTAGGTATATACAGATAATCTATAAAATGGTTCATAAAAAATGCAACAATATGCGTGAAAAGGAACACGAGTTGACTTCCGTTTTTTGCTGCGTGTGAAAAACTCAAGTGAGCTCCCATTCTACGTTTTTTGCTTCTTGGCGCCAATGCATTTAGTCTATGATCTAAAGTTAGTGCCAAACTGAAATGTGTTGTGAGATATGTTACTTCCCTCCCCGCTTTAAGCGATTTTTTTCCGTTAAGCCATACCGTAAGATATATTTATAGATTTTTCGTATGTACCGTTGTCCTAGAGCTAATGTGATCATAAGTGTTTCATTTAATCAATATATTACGATAAAAATAAGTATTATATGACCAGGATTACTATATTTAAGTCGTTTGATATTACAACAAGTATTATAAATGTCTATTTCATGTGTAAAGAAATTTTAAGGCTGCGTTACTACAAATACATTTGTCCTCGACATATTTTTTCAATTTTAAAGATATTCTAAAGTTCAAATTGTTTTTTTTCAATACTGTTTATATGAATCTTCTACATATATTTAAATAGTTAGTACGTATATGTTGCCAGGATTCAATTCGATGTGCAAATCTCACCAAAATGGCCTTAATGTCTTTATATGAATTAATCTACTATTTTTTACAACACTTTCGCAAGTTTTATTGTATTTCTGCCACAAAAAGTACAAAACCTCTGTGGTGTGTCAAACACATCGCTGACCATAGTGCTGTGCGAAATAGACAAATGTTTTTTTTATAAGCTTTACTTTAAATGTCTGGAAATATAACAGATGTTTTTAAAACATTTACTTCGTTTCATTTTCGTATATCCTTTTCTCTTATAGATTTCCCAGTTCCGCTTGTTTTAACAGCCTAGTTAGACAGACAAATAAGTTAAAACTATGATTTTAAAATAATAGGCGATTTCAAGTACATAAATCTTTATTACACTAAATTATATACTTTTAACATTATTGTATTAATTAACAAATGCGCTGTGTTGCAAGCTAAACGCGCCAGTACCACTCTTGCAAAGCTGTCCCATCATAAGGCAACTCGATGCTGAACGAATGTTATCCGTCTTTGAGTTCAAAATCGCTTCTTTTAAGAATATCAACGAAGATTCGAACGACATTTGCTGCAGCGGTGACGTCGACGACTCCATACCTTTCCTACTCATTGGCTCGAATATTCCGTTATACGTCATATAATCAGCGACCAGAGACAAATGTCTCGGATCCACTGTAATACCATAGACATTGAATACATTTTGAATCTCTTTGATGATAACTTTGTTGGCCGCTTCTATACCATAAGTATTGGCTATGGCGTGAATGTCATTACTGTAGAGCTTGTTTATGTCTAAAACATTATTATATTTGAACATTTGTAAAATATTTATACCTTCCGTCTTCAGGTAAAGGATGTTCTTTTCTTTATTCGTTATAGCTCTTCTAATGTTCTTCACTTCATGTATAACTGATTTGGCGGCTGCGTCGCGCAGAGCTTGGGACAGATCGACCCGCAAGAAACTTATCGGGAAAAGTACAGTCAACTCGCACCACATGTGGTTCTTCGTATCATAGGTATAATTCGTAGCGTTCTGAATACTTCCGATAACGTCGCTCATTATTCTGCTGTCATCCGCGTTCACTTCACTCTGACTTGCTTCTAATGCTTCATCGTCGATTAATATAGTCTGATTCTCGTCGGGTGTTCCTTCATCGTCTGATTTTTCTTCTTCCTCGGACTCTGGATCCTCATATTCCTGCTCTTCTGCTCTCTTATTTCTTATTTTCACCTGTGAACAAACATTAAAATTCTTAAGATTTCAAAACATATCAAACAAATTACATATTTTCAAACACACAGATTTAAATGTCGACAGTAAATTAACGTTTTTTGTAATGCATAGGAACTTACTTCGGTATTATCATCGTCATCATTAGGTCCTTCTTCGTCGGAGCTGTCATCGTTCAAGTCTTTACCGATTGTCTCTTTTTCTTCTGGAACAATCTCCTCGCCTTCTTCCTCATCGTCATTTGCTTTTCGCTTCTTCTTTTCCTTTTCTGTCGCCCATACAACACCGCACGTGGCCTTCGCTTGCTTTTTAATAACACTAAACATTTCAGGGAAAAATTTCTTCATGTGCTTAATAATCTGTGGCGGTTTCACCGCGTATTGAGTTTTGTATTGTGAATACGGCAAGAATGTGAACTTCAATATAGTCTTCAATTGTCTATCTGGATTCGTAACGATTTCACACTCGACATCTATTTTTTCTAAAACATCTGCTACAGTAACCCTGTTCAATTTTTGCCTCAATCGTTCTGCTTTCTTATTCAAGTTCGGCAAATCTTGACGGAAAGGTATATCCATATTAGGAGTTTTAAGCTTCGCTGATGCCGTCATTAGGATTTCCCTTAATCGGGGTATACCCAAAGTAACGTTCATATCACCTCTTCCGGCGAAGTGAAAGGTATTCAGTGTCATCTGTGTTGAAGGTTCTCCTATAGATTGCGCAGCTAACAAGCCGACAGGTTCTCCTGGCGCTGCCATAGATGCCAAATACTTAGCATTCATAATGTCCACAAATTTATCATTATCTGTGATTTCCTTATTATCTGTGTCTTGTCTGTTCTTTAAGTAGCTTTGTATTAGTCCATCTAATTGTTCATTTATCACACCAAATCTATACTGCGGGGAATATTTACTAATTACGGGATCAGGGCACTTTTTCCTTGCATACTCCTGTTTCTCTTCTTCACTCATCGATCGCCATTTTTTCTCTAGCTCCCAATAGAATGGATCTCTTGTTTCATCCGTCGGTTTCTCATCAAGTATTATATCTTTTCTTGCCAGAATTGAAAACTGAGTGAAAGGACTTACTCGTACTTTCTCAAATGGATTACCATATTTCTTTTTCCATTTTTTCAAGGACTTTTGTGATTTCATAATATCCTTAGTGCTTTCTCCTTCTTTCAGTTTGTTAATAGTCGATTTAGAAACAACAGCATTTGAATTAATGTCAAGAAACTCAAATTGATTTTTATTGAGAAATTGGCATTTTAAAACGTCTAGACCATCTTCTCCATATGCTACTTGAATAACACTGCCATCGGAATCTCTGACAGTGTAGTCGTATGAGACAGCCAGACCTTCTAGATGTTTTATCAAGCATCTTTGTAAGTAGCCAGATCTACTAGTTTTTACTGCTGTATCAATGAGACCTTCACGACCCGCCATACAGTGAAAGAAAAACTCTTGAGGTTGTATCCCTGTCATGAACCGGCCATCGATAAATCCACCAGCTCTAGGAGAAAGATCATAAGGCAAAAAGCTGGGAAGCGACCGTCCAGATATCATCAATGGCGGGCGTTTTCCTTCCAATTCGATTTGACCAAGCAAGCATGAAATTTGCATAGTGTTTACAGTTGACCCTTTCGCACCAGACTGCACCATCAATTGAAGATTGTTGTATGGAAATTTCTCTAATAAACCTTCAGTTAAACAGACTGTGTTTATTTTGTTTGTATAAGAATCCAGTGCACTCTTGTACTGCCTATCCAAATTGGGTCTGAATTTAGGATCTTTCGTAAGCATCTCGCCAATGGTTTCTTTAAGTGTGTTATCATCAGCATCTGCCGGGAGATCTGTTGCTTTAGCGGCAGCGACTCTGCCGACCTGACGAACTAGACATATCAAATCGTCACGTTTTTTATTAGCTTCATCAGTAACCAAAATATCTCTTACACCAAGAGTAAATCCTATCCACTGTAGATAAAAAGTGAACACTTTCGAAAATGCACTTAATAATGCACTGGAGCATACACCTCCATACAATTCATACATACAATGGACTAAGCCATATGGAGTAGCACCATAGTGCGTTTTATCCAATACTCCGCTGAGAAGTTCACCTTTTCTGATTATGACTTCAGCTTCAGACATTATGTTTGCATCTTTGAATGGAGTTCCACCAGCATTCCAGGGTCTTGGGTTTTCTTTTTGCCATGCTTTTGAGCTAATCTTAGCCTTTCCTGTTAATGTCAGGCATGGTTTTCCTTTAGGTATAATATTGATAATTATTGTTGACAAAATTTGTTTACCGGACCACAATACTACTGGTTTGAGAATTGTAGGTGGTAACAATTTGATTTCACCCTTGTGTTTAGATAGAGCTTGAAATACTAACTGCTGATAGTCTGACTTTGTGAAAAATGCACCTCTTATTGACATCTTTACACCAGAAATGACATGATCTTGAATTAATCCACTTAGGGGAGTACCATCTTTTGGTACAAGATACTGATGAATAACTGACATTATGTTGTAAGCTTCACTTCTTGCTATTTCATTCTGAGGAAAATGTGCATTCATTTCATCACCATCAAAATCAGCATTGTAGGACTTACAGTTAGCATAATGCAACCTAAGAGTTTTTTCTCCCTTGAGGATTCTTGCTCGATGAGCCATCATACTTGGCTTGTGTAGAGATGGTTGACGGTTCAAAATTAATGCATCACCATTAACTAGATGTCTATGTACAATCTTTAAACCTGCTGTCTTATACTCATCAGGAGTTAGGAGTCTCTTAGCAAGACTCTTCCTCTTTTCAATAGAGTCTGGAGGTATTCTAATAACTCTGCCATTTTTTATTTCAATCTTTTCAGCACCTGGGTGTTTGTTTGGGCCGTTTATTACCATTTTTCTTAGTTCATCAACATTCCATTCAGTGACTGGTACAGGGTAAGTGAGCTTTGTAGCAAAAGCTGCAGGGATACCAATCTCATCAATGTCTACATTGGGATCAGGGGTGATAACAGACCGAGCAGCAAAATTAACTCTTTTACCCATCATATTCATTCTTATAACACCAGTTTTCTTTTCTATAATCTGTTTTAATCCTTGACTCATAGTTTGATCCTCACAACTGAGTAAATAGTTCACTTGTTTCTGTAAATCTTGCCAGATTGTATGCAGCTTTTCAGGTGGCGATTTACCCATTACACTTTCATAAGCTTGCCTTGGATTAGTATCAAGACCATCTATGGCTTTCTGTTGATCTGATGATGAAAGGACTTGTAAAATTGCCCTCGCTTTGAATGATGAATTCATTATACTTTTGTAAATATTTGTCTGGGGATGTTCAAGTAGTTCTCCGCGCAATACATTGCATGGTCTGACCGATGGTGGAAGGACAGGCACTGCATGCATAAAAAATATATCACTGCTAGGCTTACAATTAGAATTTTTCAACACTGGTAAGCAATATGATAGAAGGTCATCATCATTTTGAGTAATAGCACTGCAATAGCGTTTAATTTCATCCGGCATTAATATTTTTATACCTTTTGCATCATCGGATGTCATATTGTACATAATTTTATTATCAGATGTAGTCACCTTGATCAGTTTGTTTCTACAGTACATACAAGTCTTTGTTATATTGATGGCTTTGAAAAAGTTATTTATTACTTTGGTTCGTAATTTATCAGTGTTTTTGCTTTGAAAGGTTTTGTTTATTGGATCTTTGGTTTTTAATAATTTCTGACTTCTTCTTATAAGTTTGTTAGGTTTATCAGGAGATGTTGCACTGTTATAACTTTTGACATCTCCAACAACACTCTCTAAGTCTAAAGCAGCAGTGACATGGCCTGCTTCAATCAATTCCAATTGTAATTTTAAGATAGATTTCATTTTATCATCCATTTGGATTTTAAAGCACTTCAAGCAGCTGATTCTGAACAATACATAAATTGTTTTGATGTATAAAGGATTGACGACCACCAGAGGCAATTCTATGTGTCCAAAATGTCCAGTACAGTGTAGCATAGTATTTGAACAAGTGCCACAAAAATCATTTCTGTCTCTTACAGGGCCCATTGCAGTATCATAGAGACCTCCTTTTGTAGCATTTCCCAATGAATCGAATGAAATCGGATTCGTTATTTTCAGGACACTTAATTTCTTTATATCTTCATCACTGAACATAAGGAACTGTACAGAATCCAGATCAAAAGAGGCCAGTTCAGGCACTGTTGAAGTAAAAGTATCTAAACCCATGGCTTCTTATTTTATAGTGCTGTCTTCAAATAACCTCCACTATCATACTATATGAAATGTAACTTTACATGTAAAAGATATATAGAGCCGTATTTTTTACTAATAATTCTTAAAATCCAAATAATGAATATTTTACATTTTGCAGTTTTTAATGGATTTTACAAAGATCGAAACCCCCACATAAATAAAACACAGACACGAAAATAATTGTGAAAAGTCAAAACCACATGGGAAAGGAAAATAAAAGTGACAGTGACACACTGATTGATTGACAAACAGATTACATAATCATTTTTTCCAAAACAAAAATCAAAACACCTTGTATTTTAAATTAAAGAAAACCGCTTTAGGTAGAAAGGATGTTACAGGAAACAAACACTAAAATAATCTTATAATAAATAATTCTTAACAAACATATTGAAAAACGAAAACGCTTAACACTTTTTTTCCGTAGACATAAAATTTTTCATCTGTTACTTCTTTAATCAGTCAGTCAACATGGCGGCCCAAGATGAAGTTGACGTATGTGAAAGTTGGGAGGACATGGACGATATTGGCGTAAGTTATACTGGGATAAAGACCTGAAAGAATGTCGCGCGTCGCTGCCGGCCGCCAGAAGAATCGTTGCACAAACATTTCTTTGTTACAGTTAGACAACAAGATCAAACTGATGTCCAGTGTTCCTGCCCCCGTGAAATCTCTGAAAGGTTGCAAGGTTACTAACGTAATAGTTGAGGAGAGCGCGTGTATTGGATCTCACTGCATCATGCCGGAGCCAGCAATTCGTATATTGAAGAGACCGTCAAGTCTGGCGAGCGGCCAGCTCAACGGCGAGAGTCGCGCGCGTCCAGTAAAGACTTTAGAACAAAGACAGAAAGAGTATGAACAAGCTCGTTTAAGAATATTAGGCGAAGCACGAAGCCCTGAGGACGTAATTGACGATAAGTATGTTCGAACGTTATTGTTTACATTCATAACTTTATTATTTCTTGCCAGTTTCACTGTAATACAGAATGTTATTTTATTAACTATAATTCAATATAATGATAGTGTGTTTATTTTTTATTAATGTAACTTTTATAATGTTACAGTTTGACACGGTTACAAGAGAAATTCCAAGCAAATAATATAAATGACACACAAAGTTCGGGTAAAATAAAAAACTGTCATAGTGACACCAAAGGGAAAGAGAGGAAGGTCCTAGCGCGGTTGCCAGTGGGAGCTAATACATCTGGAATATTCCCTTCCCCACCACCTCCAGGAGTTTTAGTGATACGAACACCGAGAGGCCCTGATGGTACAAAAGGTTTCCTCCGAAGGTAGCATTGGCAATGTAAGATAATCTAAATTTTCTTGTTAAGCATCCATCCATGATCAACTGTCTTCAATTAATTATCTTAATGACTATATTTAGTTAAGGTTTTGTATAACTCAATTGTGCTAAATAATAAAATTTATTATAGTAATGTTACATATACATGTTAATGAAATTTTTAAAATTATTTGATAGGGTAACACATTTTTTAATTTAAATTAATATCTATCACAACGTAATTTACAATGTTACTGAAAAATTCATTAACCTTGTTTACAAAAGCATTAAAAACTAGAATATTTCCGATGTATTCTTGGGCTTGTAAATTCAAGCAAAAACATGCAAAAGTATCAACTTAAATTTTTTTTCTTTGTTTGCATATGTACATAATTTTTTTGAGTTAATTTCTTTTTTTTAAACTTTTAATATATGTAGAGAGAATGTTACATATTTTTTGAGCATTTATATTTATAGTAATGAAGTTAAATAATTTTGGATGAAATTTGGAAATTGATTGTTATTAGGTAAATTAAATATTGCTCATGTGGGAACAAAGACATTATATACAATAGTAATTGTATATAATAACCATTTATATATTGATACAATTTGCAAGTCAAGTTTCATTATTTCATAGTATATCAGTTTTCATTATCATTTAATTGTCACTTAAGTGTTGCTTAGTGTGGACTTAATTATGAAATTGTGAGTGATTTAGAAGACTAAAATACAATTAGTTAAATTAAAAAGTATGTGCCGTCTATGACGAAACTGTTTCATCGTAATTTTTGTAACAATTTTTCTATAACCAATTTTTTATTAGTATTAGAATACTTGTTGATTAGGTGTTAAGTATATTTTCATAAGATTCAGCCTCTGTCTTTGTGCTTTTTAAACCTTACATATCTCAGTACTGACAATTTCATGAACATTTAAAAAGTTATACTGCTCAGTTGTAACTGTACATGTGTAGACAAACTTTTCAGTTAAAACTGTCAAATGAGAGAAAGAAGGCTTTAAAGTGATTTTGCACTAACTGACTTGTCTCCCTCAGAAATGGTTTTATTGTTTCTCAACTATTTTTAAGGGTTGCTATACACAAACTGATACTAGCAGTCTGTCTGCATGTCTGAATGTCTGTGTATAGGAAATATTAATTGTTTTGAGATTTGACATAGTATTACAGTAGAACTTCGATAACTCAAACCTCGGTAACTTAAAAACCTCTATAACTTCGAAAAAAAATATGTTCCCTTCCTATCAGAGCCCAAAACCTCTATAACATAGACTTGATAACTTAAAATGTGTGTTTCCCTTGGACTTTAACTTATTGAGGTTCTACTGTATATTACATTTATGATTTTAAAGCACAAAGACGGTAACTTCAAGTTGTATTGGCATTATTTCGTTTGTGTTAGACAATTTTTTCTTTCTTACTCTAAATTAACATTTTTGAAAGGAAGTTTAGTGAAATTTTTGTAGATATGACAAAGATTTGTGTAGATAATGTTTGAACAAAGCCTACTCGTAAGTAAGGTTGCTGCAAGTAATTTAGAGTACTAAGTTATTAGTAAAAGACTACTGCTCAAGATGTTCTGAATTTTTTGCTTAAGTGACGCATACTGTTAAGTGTTACTTGTTGAAAAAATACGAAATTATTGTGAAGACATTTACTAAATCACTTGGTACTACTAAATTACTGGCCTCGTGTGAACTGGGCAGAAAGGATTGTGATATATTATTGTCTTATTGCAAGCCTTAAATTTCTATTTATATTTAGATGTTAAATTATTTTAGTGTGTGTTTAATTTACAGTGCTAATATTGTAAATATAGGATTGAGATTGCATTATCCTCTGTTTAAAATAGAATGAGACTCATAAATTCTAATGAGAAATGTCATAATTACGTTTATTACTAATAATAGTAAGAAAGTTATTGGGTCTGGGTGAAATGTGGTTAGTATTCCTGTCATTGTCCGGAAAGAGGTTCGGCACAGCCATTGTTCAGTACATTTCTATTTGTCGTAATATCTGAATTTACTCCCTTAAGTAATTGTATTTTACACAAACCATCAATACTTTGGTCTTTCTATTGCTATCCATATTTATGTCCATGTTGACAATAATTGATAATAGATGGCGCTGACTGGTTATAAACAATAATTTTACAATTTATAAACCATGTTACTATTTAATCTAAATACTTTTGATTAATATTACAACTGTTGTCAGCGCCATCTATTGTCAATTATTGCTTAACCTTATATGTAAAGTTGTCACAGAATTTAACACAAGATAAGACAAACTGTGACAAGGATCTTAAGGTATTTGTTAATGTGATGGAGGTTTTAGTAAATTATTGTGATTGTGTCACTTATGAGGTGACATGTTATAGCAATTAATATTTTATTTACAATATTAGCACTGGCTTTGTATTGTGTTTACAATGCATTTATATTTCATAGCGAGACATGTCTATATAAACGTTTTATATCTATGGAAATGTGCTATGAAGAAAACAGACGCCACCTAAGAACCATAGATAATAAAAAAATACTGTTATTGCCTTCCTCGTTTAAAGACTACTGAATTTCGAAATTAAACTAAATTGTGTCCCTTAGTGTCCATTCTGAGTATGGCAATCAATGTATCTTTTTCGTTAGGCATGCATCTTTTAAATGTGAGCTTATTGAGAAATTAAACCCTATTTTTGTAAATAGGATCTTTACGATGACTCGATAATATATTTTTATATTAAAGTCATAAACTTTGTGTAAATATACTTTAAAAATAAGATTGTTATAGATTTAATTCTTTTTTTATGTATTAAGTTTATTTAAGGGAATGTTGATGTAAATATAATTTCAACGGCTCAGTGTTTGTGCCAATTTTGGCAAAAGAACAATTTATACTATTTTAAGAAACAAACAAGCCTTTAAATTATGTGAATTTGTCAGAGGATGGGACGAATAAGGGTAATATCCTCTTTCTGTACGTCCCCACCTCTAGTGGTAGGCGACGCATCTGCAAATGCGGATATCTGAACAGCGATCGCTTCGCTGTTTCGGCGAGTTCCGGTGGTTTGCTCAATTGTCACCTTAAAGTATAAAAAAAATCTATTTGCGATATATGCAAAAATACATCGCCATCCGTGCAGCGTTAGGGCGAGGGTTATGAGACCGCCCAGGGCGTTAGAAGGGCGTCATAAAACCGTGAATTAGTCTCAAATAAGCCTAACCCCGTCTTAAACGCTGACAAAAGGGATGTCGTATAAATTCCGCCCAAGGCGCTATTATTGAGATATTATTACAAATTGTATATCTTCTTGTGCCAACATCTATTATAGATTATGTTAAGTGTATAACATTTGTAATTATGAATGTGTATGAAGTTAGTATTAAATATTAGACACTATTAAAAAAACACAATTTTGTAATATGAAGTATGGCAAAGAAGTTTTGAGTTGCCTACAAATGGACAGAAGAAGGGACTCCCAAAGGAATTATAAATTTCCTAACGTCCCCGATCTTGTCAACTTCTTTTCGCTTGTAAAGAAAGAAATAAGAGTGGATAACTTTGACTACACTTTTTAATTTTGCAACTAAACAGTTGAATTGGCTGCGAAACAATCGACAATCGCACAACAGTTTTGCGATGCTTTAGTCAAAGGTGTTCGCTCGCTCTCAGATGTTTCAATCTTCAGATAAAACTCATCACAAACCACTTGATTTGAATATCTTGAGTACACATTCTTAATACCAATTTAAAAAAGTTTTAATAAATAAAGTATATATTTTTATAACTAACTTATTCTGTTTTGTCATAACTGAGCCGTGAGTTGTAAATATGTGTATGAAGACTGGTGCTCAACTCCTAGCAGTTGCCACGTCTAACGGAATCGTTTTCTATTGTCAATCGACTGTAACCCTCTCTGCGTATTCTGTAAGTAAATTAGGTTATGAATTTATATTTTAACCGAGAACATTATTAAATATTTGTTAAAAATATGTGTGATTTTATTTGTTTTATTTAATCACTAGCTTTCGCCCGCGACTCCGCCCGTGTTATTTCAAGAAAAACAAAAGCAAGTAGCCTATGTGTTTCTCCAGACTATCCTTTAGGTCTATGCACAATTTCATGGAGATCCGTTTAGCCGTTTAGGCTACAAACGCTAAGAAACATCACTCTATCTAAACTTTCGCATTTAGTATATTAGTAACGATAGTAAGATTTTCAGCAGATCTTAAAACGGCTATTCCAATGATGGGTGCTGTTTATAAAGCTGCTTACCTTTCTATAGGGGAGAAAATGCAATTCTGTCCTATGCATCCTCTCTACCTATAAGAAAATAATTTTTAAAGTAACACACACACACAACCATACAACATGCAGAGGCCATTATATTCAACAAGCACATACATAACACACAATTCACAATCACACGTGCACACACACACCACACGCACACACACATATATATACACACACACATATATACACACCCACACACACACGCGCACAAATCATTCATCATACACGCGGGAAAGATGAGGGAAAAAAACCATCTAATTGTTAATTATAATTGTTTTATTTGAAAATGTTATTAACACCTTAAATTTTCTTGTACCTTATTATTACTTTGAATTTTCCCTTTCCTGCAATAAGAAGGCTAGAAGGGGACAATCACTAAGGTTTTAACAGACCATTGTTCTTGTCGATCTTTTTTACACAAAGTAGTACTGCGTGTTTTAAGAATTGTTCAGGACAACATTTTTATGGAGTATGGAATATCCAGAACACAATTCATTTATCAAATATGTTAATAAACGTCAATAAAATGCGTCGAAAAACAGGTTTCGACAACATTCCTGTACTCAGTACGATTCAATCGTCGAAACGGTTCACTAGTCTAAGTTGACAGGGAAATTCTAATATGTCGGAACTTGATAAGTTAAGTGAGAGAGATAGGGCTGTACTGAAGAGTATATTTGACCCCACAGCGATTATCGGAGACGTTACTGATAACGAAGATAATTTCGAAGATGATGAACCAGGTTTTTTTTTATTTTCAATAATATATTTAATTAAATTCGACACTGTTAGATTGTGTTGTTTTATATATATTCTTTGTTTAAAAATAAATAACAAAAGTCGGAGTTTTTTAATACAAGTTAGCTGAAACGAACTGCGTAGTTTTATACGAAGAGGAAAACATTAATGAATTGTTTTTTTTAAACTAGTGCTAGTCCGAGTGTAGACAAAACATTTTTCTTTCTAATTTAACTATTTCAATAGCTTGTGTTCTTCCGGATTATGTTCTGTGTGCCAAATTCTTTTATTTCCTTTGAGTGGTTTTGTAGATTCATAGTAACAATCTTCTATTTAATTATCCAAACTTTCGCAATATTAATATTAGTGTGATTCGTTCTTTAAAAATATTAGGAGTGCCTATTCATATATAACTGGCGGGAAAAGTCCCAAAACAAACATATTATGAAGTTATATAGGAGTGTTTACATCTATCTTGCGACGTCGAGTTTAACCGGTGTAAACCGGCTAACCGTTCCCGCGAGTTACATATGAACAACCAATTATGTCCTTGTCCAAATTAACTTTAACTGTATTACAACTTTACCTTCATCCGTTTGTGAAGTTTTCTAAAAAACGATAAAAATTTTGGTGCATTACTAAGCAGTGCCGACGTTCGGGTTGAGCCAGGTGGGCCGCCCGCTGTGGGCGCCGGACATATAGTGGCGGCTTTTTGACCGACTTCCCAAAAGAAGGAGGTATTCAATTCGTCGGTATATTTATTTTTTTTT